GCTAAGCGACTGTTACGGCGGAACTACCAGAATGACCTGTTTCTATGATGTGCACTGACCATCAGGGGGCAGACGCTCAATGCAGGAGCTGCCCCCTGGTGGTCAGTGCGCTCACATAGGGGGAGCACTGCTCAGCCAGAAGCTGCCACAGTGGGAGCCTCTCCTGACTCTGCAGCAGCACTATCCAGTGGTAACAGCAGGCCGGGATGAGCGCCAGCGGCATGGCGCCTGGCCCTGATTCAGGCTCCTCCCTGGATGCCTGCTGCTTGGTGCACTTCTACATCCCCTGAGGGGTCCTGAACTGTGAGAGGGCATGGGCTGGGCTGAGGAACCCCCTCACTCCCAGTGCACAAATTTCATGCACCAGGCCTCTACTCTACACCAATAAAAGGGAAACATGCAAATTGACCATCCCTCTGCTACTCTCACCAGCCAATCAGGGTGAATATGCAAATTAACCCAACAAAGATGGCAGTGGCCACAGAGCTAGAGGCTTGGGTTTCCCCTGGCAACAGAGAAAGCCAAGCTTCCCGCCCGCCCTGGCTGCCACTGAAGGAGAGTGGCTGGAGGCCTGGGATGCTGGGCATGACCCAGGCTTCCAGCCGGCCCTGGCCTCCGCTCAAGAAGGGGCTGGGGGCCTGGGTTGCCCTGGCCGCTGCTCAAGGAGTGGCTGGGGGCCTGGGTCTCTGGGGGGCATGGCCAGCCTGAAAATGGCCCTCAGCCCCTCATTGAGGCTGGCCACACTCCCATGGAGTAAGAGTCCCCGCTGGGGGGCCTGGCAAGCCTGCAAACAGCCATCATCCCCTCACCCAAGCTGGCCAGGCACCCCAACTGGGACCCCCACCCTGAAGGCAGGCAGGCAGGCAGGCAGGCGAGCAGTTAGGAGCCAGCAGTCCCAGAGTGCGAGAGGGATGTCTGAGTGCCAGTTGTGGGATCGGGCCTAAACTAGCAGTCAGACATCCCCCAAGGGGTCCTGGATTGGATAGGGTGCAGGCTGGGATGAGGGACCCCCCCATGCACAAATTTTGTGCACCAGGCCTATAGTATTAAAATAAAAAGATTCTGCACAGCAAAAGAAACCACCATCAAAATGAAAAGGGAGAACATTTTTGCCAATGATACATCTGATAAGGGATTAATATCCAAAATA